GCGGCGGAGGTTCGCGGGGGTTGCCGGGATTGCTGTGGCCTTCGGTGAGGTTTTCGGTATCGTTGATAGACGGTGGTGGCGGCGGTGAGTCAGGCAGGTCAGTTTCTCGCAGGGGAGTTGTGAGACTCTGGCCGAGAGCAGGGCGTAGAGCTGAGTAGTTGTCGAAGGAAGCGGCAACTTGACGAGCAACCTCGGCTTTGGTGTGTTGTGGGATGTTTTGGAGCAGTTGGTGGGAGTATCTATGGAACTCGAGGGCCATGTCTTGGCGGTAGGCTGCAACCTTGTGGTCGAGGTCGGCTAGCTTCTGATGCAGGTCTCCGATGAGCCTCGTCGCATCGTCCATGTCAACCATGTCGCTCAAGGCCGGCAGAGGCAGCAACAGCAACTGCAAGACGGAGAGTGCCAGTGACAGCGGTAGCGGTAGCGGCGACTAGGGGATAGACCGATACCTAGACGAACGAGGGTCAGGAATCGGGGCGTGGAGGTGGGCCAATGGGTTCCTGGGCGTGGGCATGACGCAAGGCGTCTGGGTCGAGGTTGCGGCGAAATGGTCGGCGGCGTCCAATGTTTGTTCGGGATGGGCGATTTACGGTTGCGTCCAGACCACAGGCACAGAGGCACAGGCGCACAGGCGCAAAGGGTGTTGACAGAGACACACTGGGGTGGGCGGCGGCGGAAGGAGAGAAAGAGGTTCAGGTTGCAGATGAACGCGTTTGGGGAATGTTTCTCTGTGTGCGAATGTGTGTGATTGTGTGGTGTGCGGTGCTCTGTGTGTGTGCGTGTGTGTCTCTCTTCCCCGCGGAGAGAGATGATCAATAGGAAAGTCGGGGGCCCGGGGAGGGGTGTGTGGATTGGATTGTGGTCTCGGATCAGGCCAGAATCTGAGGTAAATAGAAAAGATTAGATAAAAACCTGCCAGGACTGGGCAAGACAACGACCTGGACTGGACAAGTCAATCCAAGCGAGACCCAAAGGTAAGACCAGACTGGAGGGATACTGCGTAGGTGCCTTGTCTGCGGGAGTTTGTGCAGAAAGACACGAGAGATGAATTGTGCGTGGGGAGTCAAGCGCGTGGTGGGTGTGCGTGTGTTGTGTGTGTGGTCGGTCCAAAGCGGCCGATGTGCAAATGTGCAAATCCAATGTGCGATGGATGTGGGTTAATTCTTTTGGGCGGTACAGGAGCAGGACCCGGGAGTGCCAATCTGCAAGTATCTCTGTGGTGGTTGTGGCGGGAATATGTACTTGTGAGGCCTAGAACACCCTCAAAGATGGTGTCCCCGATCCCCGCTGTCTGGATTTTGGGTCGGGTCGGATGCGTGGTTCACCATCGAAAAGGAAGACGTGGGACATGGCCTTTTGGGAGGTTCCGCCCCTCTGTCTCCCCCCCGTCTCTCTGCAATGGAAAACCAAATGGAATCTTTTTGGGTGGGCGCGCGCGCGGGCTTCCGATTCTTGGAATCTCGGGGTGGGCGGCAGGTACGTACCGGCATTGCCAAGCAGACAGGGGTGATTAAGGCAGGTAGCCCCCCCTTCCTCTTCTCCTTCCCCTTGCCCTCCCACGCCTGCCTCGTCCCTTACAACCTACTGCAGTAAGTCCCCTCTAAGTTGGAAAGAGTCAAGCCTTGCAGTCGCTCTTGCCTCTCAAGAGTCAAGCCCGGGGCATGAAAACCCCTCAGAGAGCTGGTTGTCTGCCGGGCTGCTTCTTTCTCGGTGCTTTTGGTGGGCGCGAATCCTAGACCATTCCGCCTTCCAATTCCAGGGTGTGATTGCCAGGCTCACATTTTTCGACATGCCCTCTCACGAGTCGCATGGGGGTCATCGGCAAGGGTCCTTGGGTATCCTCTATCTACCAGGTAGGTACCTACTTCATGTTCAGCAATGACAGCCATCATCAACATTGAGAACAAAAGCATCAGCACCAGTACCAGCACCAGCAACAACAGTAACTATCTTACCTATCGCGCCTGAGGCATGGCATACGCCCGGTACCGGTGCTGATGGTCTGCGCCTGCTTTCGTATTATGCAATACTGATCCCACGCATCGTTTGACCCTCGACGTTGGACGTTGGACGCCTCAAGTCATTCGGGTGTCAACGGCGCTTTCCTCACCGAACCATACATCGAATTGCTTCTTGAAGACAGGCACGTGGCCATTCTCCCCCAGAACATGTTTAATTTGCTCATTGCTTTTTCTCTTTTCTCATCTCAAACCACGCAACCTGGGAGTCGGAACCCGGCAGCTGCAGGCACTTTGTGCTACTTACATGACCGGACCTGAGAGTCTGAGAGTCTGAACGGTTGAATGCCTAGTCCAACTCCATCAGACTCCATCCACCGTCGGCCACCCCGTCCCGTCTCGCTGCATTCTACCCTAGCACTGACATGCATATGGAAATCTCTTCATGTGCCTTTCTATCACTCAATTATGCCATGAGCTGTCTTCTCTGTCACACCTCACTGGTCCGACAGGCTCGTGTTCTGGCTCCTACCAAGTCGCATTAGGTTTTCAGTGGTTCAAGCCTCCCAAAAACCGCCGATCCCCGTTCAGCATCAGACTTGGACTAAGTACTCTCAGCTCCGCAATGGCACTGCGCTGGCCATGACATTGGCACTCTGACCTGACAATCCATCAAGAAGGCCAAAAACTCAACTCAATCCATAGCCTAGCAGCAACTGTCGCAACGATTGCTGCAACCCTCGAGCTAACAACCGATCTCGGCACCCGGCAATGCCCTTCTCAACGTCTACTCACGAATCCGCAATCAATCAAAGCCTCTCGTGGCTTGTCGTGTATTGCGGCCATGGTTGGGCATGATGGGCGGTTACGAACTGTGGGTCATTCCATGACACTTACACGCGCTTACAGGTCACCCTCTCGAGACGGCCGCTCACAAACACAAATCGCAAGTTGCCAAACTGCTCCAGCAAACTATTATGCAGTATCCCCGAGAACGACATCAATTTGGCTCTAGCTTTCGCTGATAACGCGGGGTCTGTTTTGGATGAAGTTGTGTTTGACTTATCTTGCCTATCCTTCAGACGAGAAGCCGCGCAACACCCCTCCAACACAAAGAAGAGCGACGTCCATTGGCAGGCTTCACCGTTGTACAACTCGAAAAAACGAGGGGGCACATCGACGTCAAAGGTCATTGACGAAGAAAGGCCCCACGACGGGACAAGGTCGCCAGCATGGATGGGGGTGAGAAGGTGGGAAGCATAGAATTTGACTTTCCGACATACTTTCCTAGACACCTCCGCTGGTACATAGATAAGGTGGCATTCTTGGGCGACGTAGTGTTGCGCCGTGCCGCCCTGCTCAGGTTCGTTGGCGAGCAAGTGGTGCCAAGTGGTTGCCTCGGGCAAGGGAACCTCCCACGTCGAGACTCGAACACCCCCGTGGCCCTCCCCTCCTTCACCCCCGCCGGACGTTGGCCTTCTTTCCTTGACCGAGTCCGGCTCTTAGGGTGTCACGCGGCCGTCACCCCCGCGGCGCATGACTGGCCGCCCCTCTCACCGGTCCCGGAACCCCGTGACTTGTCCTCCACGGGGACATCGGGCTCCACGACTGTCACGAGATCCCCAAAGCTGAAAAAAACAGACTTTGAGGTTTTTTTTCCCTTGCCTTGCCTTTCGGACTTATTGATGACTCGCATTTCTCAACAGCGGTCCCACTTCATCCCACCCTTGCCTGTACCTCTTTTCCAATTTATTTTACGCGGGTGGTGATGCAATGCTCTCTCGCTTACACGGCAATGTATGGACTTTTGCTGCTCGCATTGCGCATTGAGTATTTGGGGGCGCAGGGTGGGAAAACCTCATGGCCTTGGTCACACCGAGAAATGCCCAGTTAATATGCGAGTGCAACGTCTCAGTGGCGGGTGCTTATGGCGGTGTATCTACCTATAAGAGATGGAGTTAAAACACCAATGGGAAAGCCCACGCCACACAACGAGACGAAACATCCCAATTGCCGGGTGTGAGCAGTCATGTTTCCTCCTTTGCCCAGGCCCGTTTTGCTCTGCTCGCGCCGCCTGATCAACGTCTGTATGTCTCTTCCGTGCCTAGGTACTGCAGAAAAAAAGGTCCCGTCTGGCCGCTCTAGAACGGAGAGTTTCCTAGGCGGGCACCGCCGCTCTCCCGCTGTCAACCGCTGCACGGTGCGGTCATACCTACCTGTCCTGACCTGGGGCCTTTATGAGCCTTTCCCGCGTGCTATCGTGTTACGTACCGCAGCCGCTGCCGTGTTCTCAACGGCTTTGCCTGCAAGGGTTATCCGGGGACGCGGCCTCTTCGGCCGCCGGGCGCTCGGAACCGACCGAATTGAGTCCCGTTGGTGTTTGTTATGTCATATTGGCCGGTCTTTGTTTATCTGCTTTTATTGATGACATTCTCACTAAGGTGAGAAGGCATCGAGCGATTGATAGTGAAAGCAGTCTCATGAAAATTGCTTCGGCTTCCGAGGTTTGTTTATGGGCACCTGGGAGTTGTAAGACAGTAAGGTTGGTAGCTACGTGCCGTACCTTACATACACTTACTTCGCCGGCTGCAGCCAGGTACGCTCGAACCGGAGATTGTTTTTGATGATACTTTGATAACTACCGACGTTGGCGACGAAGAATTCATCCACTGAGTAAAGCAAGGGAGACCAGACACGTAATAGCTCGTGTGTAAATGCTCGCTGCTTATCACCGCAGTCTAGCGGATGAGAGACAATTTCCAACCCTCAGAGTGGTTGTCATTGCCGCTCGATCAATGGGCTTCATCACATCTGCGCAGTGTTTCCTTGTTCATACATTCTATTCCTATCAGAATCCTATCCCGGTGCCTAAGCAGGCGGTTACCCCATAGCCCCTCAGAATCTTCATACCGAGACCTAGCGTGCTTTGATCGAAGAGCAAGTATCATCAAGCAACAAGTCCGAGTACCCATATCCCGCAATCCATAGGGTCAAAAGACAGATTCCAATGTCACATCCCTTGCAAGGTCAATAATCCCGTGATCAATCACTCATATCTTCATCGGGCCGGTATTCGTCGTCACTGCCATCTCTCATGTCGAGCTCAAGATCGATGGGCTCATGGACGACGATTTCCTCCTCGATAGGATCCAGGGCGGCATTCAGCTTCATGTAAAAGTCACGGAGCACGGGGCTCAAGATCTTTCGGTCGCGTAAGTCAGCCGTGGTAGCCACCTCTCCAATCAGGCCAATGTAGTCCTCCTGCATGGCGTTCACAACTCCATTCGTGTCGTCGCGGATTGTCTTTTCAAGGGTGCTCAGCATTGTGTTGGCGGCCTTCTCCACATCTCCGGCGGCGGTTTTGAACATGGCTCGGTTAGCTTGATGTCTGTATGCCTCCAAGAATTCGCAACGCTCACCTCTCAGGTCGACGCAGCCTTGGTAGGCTTCATTCATGGCTCGCTGAACAACAGGGCCGAAAAGACGATTGGCGTCCTTTTGTGCGGTCTTGACCAGCTTTTGGTGCTCATTAGCTATATGAGCGAGCTTCTCCTTCTGTGCGGCCAGAATCACGACGAGGAAGCCGTTCACTAAATCGTTGTTCTCGACAAGAAACCGTCTGTCCTTCATGCGCTCGTGGAACGAGTTAATCAGCTGCTTGGAAGACGCGGCAAGTGTCGCAATCTTCTCAGGCAAGCGGCCATTGAAGGCCGAGTCCCACTCCTGGGCAGTATAATTCTTCATAGGCTTGAGAAGATCTGCTGCATATTAGATTCCCTCGGTTCAGACAAATCATAATAGACAGAGCTTACCCTCGTTGAAGTCACGGGCACCCGCTGCGCCTTTGAATACGCCACTGCTTTACGTTAGAGCCACGCTTCTTAAAGGGGGTTGTCACGAGGCAGGACTTACTAGCGACGGCAAGTAGCCTTACAAATTCCATAGCGAAGACCTCCGGCATCGTGCTTCGCACCCCAGCCTTCGGCAGTAGTAACGGCCTTGTCAGAGGCTTTCACGGCACCCTTGCCGGTCTTCTTCAGGACCTTCACCTTAACGACTGACTTGCAATCCTCCATGCACTTTGTAACAGCCTCACCGAGGGCCTGGAGACATAGTTAGTAATGTTTCAATGGCTTGCAGTATGATCGCTTTCGCGGGTACCTTTCCTAGCTTGGTCAAAGCAACTCCCAAGCTCTGAGTCTCCTGCTTCTTCTCATTTTCGGAGAGCTTGAGGTTAGCGACGTCCCCTGCAAAAAAGAGGTCGAGGGCCCCCAGAAGACGGCATATCTCGCTGAGATGATGGCGAAAGTGGCTAGCCTGGATAGCCGCGGCCTGCTCGAGGGTGTAGTCACGAAGACCAGGAACCCCAGTATCATCGAGAGAAGTGAAGCCTACAACACGATGGTCTTTCTTCATCCTTCCTCTCAACTGCTGGTAGCCCCGACTGCTGATGCAGAAGACTGGTAAATCTCTACCAATCTGTTCATAATCGGGGCTCACGACCTCAACCTGCTGGCGAGTTCGCATCTCTCCCTCCTGTTCGGCGAGAAGCTCTTCATCAAACCTGTAAATCAGACATTTTTGTTAGTGATGCCCTTCTTGGATGACGTCCGTATGAATACGTACTCCTTCAGACCAAACGCAAAGTCCTCCTTGATCGCCTGGCGGGAGTAATCATTGCGTCCTTGGATGCAGTAGCGGTACATCTGGATCTTCACAGCCGAAGCTGCTTGCTGAGGTCCCTGATGTTCTTCTTGATCTGCGTCATCTGCCGAGTAATCTTCTTCCGCTCCTCCCTGGCAGCCTTCTTCGACGCCTTCAGCTCTTCAAGCTTGTTGCGCGTCTCCTCGATTGAAAAAGGCTCAGGGCGACCCTCCAAGTCATCGTCGTCAGACTCAACAGCATCGAGATCCGAGTCATCACTGCTTTCGTCTGTGTCGCTTTGACCAGGCTCTTTCTTCACCTTCTTGTCAATTGCAGGCTCTTTCTCACGCTGAGGCCGAGAACGCTTCCTCTTGCGGGGAGATTCCATGGGAGCAAAGGTCGTATGCCCTTTGGAAACCTGTCTGTAAAGTCCATGCCAAGTATCAAAGTCATTGCCGATGATGCTGTACTTCTCCTGAGCGCTCGCTTTCTGGAGCTCAAGGCTTTTGAGTTCGCCCCTCTTGCGCTCGATTCCACTCTCCATTCCAATTTTGCGCTCTTGCTCCTTCGCGATGAGGTCTACAATGCTAAGACTCGGCGCCGCTTCATCCAGGGAAATGTCGTCTGCTTTGGTACAGATGAAGGTGATGTTGTTGTGCGCGCCATCGTATTTGAGCTGTTGCTTGAAGTTGTCGCCCATCAACGTACAGCGACTGCCGCGCGAGTAGCATTCGAGTCGCGTCCTCCAGGCTATTTTAGTGTCAGTAGCAATATCAACGTAGAGGTTTGTATCCACGTACCAAATCCACAATGACTACTCCGGTAGAAACGACCTCTGACTTCAGGAAGACCCGCACGACCCTGATGAGGGGCCAGTAGGCCATCTCCAGCTCCTCAGGTTCAGCACCATCGCCTTCCGTGCGAGATTTGTTTCGCTTCTTCTCCGATTCCACGAAGGCCGAGATTTCGGCGTAAAAAGGAGCGCACTCTGCTTCTTCAATCACCTTGGTCTTGCCAATCACCTCTCGCACCTTGACAAAATTGGCAAGAACAACAGGATCGACATCTCTGAGTTGCATATCAGTATGCTGTGGGTAGGCGGCCTTCAGAATGGAATATGCGATCCCAGCGTCGCTGTCCGCATTCTTGATGTCCGGAGAGAGCTTGCCCCTGTTGTCAAGGATGTCGCGGTGAAGGGCAACGACCTCAGCAGTCCCCTCAGCCTGAGTAACGAGCTCAATCTCGGCGCGATACTTCTTGGCAGTATCATTGGAGCCGTTGCACGAAATCTTGGCAACGGCGACCGTACAGGTCCGCATACAGTTGGTGAGAGGAACTCTTTCCTCGTCCAGGATAGCATTCATTGCAGTGCTCTTGCCGGATTCAGGACTTCTCAGAACACCAATGACGAATTGCGGCCTGGTTAATTCTTTCCCAAAAAGCACCATGCAAAACCTCGCGGGCTTCTTCCTTCCCTGATGAGAATTCAAAAGTCCTCTGCTTTCTTTGCATACGCACCTTGACTACAAACTCAAATCCCACTTCCTTTCTCTTTGCACATTACCTGAGAACGAACAACCTACGCACTCCGTCAAGGTGAGCTATCTCCGCAAAATAGCATTTCACAGATTGACTCACACCTTTTCTTTCTTTCGGAGATACACTTGCTGACTATTATTTGAAGATCCTCAGTATGTCTTCACCGAAGAAGAAACACAATCGACGCAAGTCTCTTCGCGATCTATTTCGACCTTGAAATCCCCCGAGTGGTTATCCCCTCACCTAATACAAGCCCAATAGAACGAACAATCATGCGCCAACACCTCTACTCCACCATATCAAGAGGCTGGCCGGTGAGATCATCTGGGAATGATAATGATCAGAAAGAGAAGTCAGAACCTCTTTCTATGACGATCAGAGCCGATGACATTTATCTACAATATTCAAGCGACGAAGATCCAAAGAAGCTGTTCGAAAAAGCTTCAAACTGGCTTCTAGCAATACAAGAGAATTCAGCAGAGAACGATCGTGCAGATACGATACTCAAAGAGACACACGAAGCGATAATTCGTGCTATCTTTGGCTCTAACATGATTGAGAGAGCTGGTCTTGGCTGGGATATCACAGTTCACCTCTGCCGAAAGATCTTCTCCGGCGAAGATGTCACCGACATTCCTGAGCGTACTCCTGAGTACGAAAGTGAATTGCTGGAGATGTATCGAAAAGAAGGCAATCTCAAGGACATGCCGGCGCAGTATGTTCTCCGCGGACGAAGAGAAATCATTCAGCACGCGCGCGCTTTTCAATACCTCATACATACATTTGTCGTATTGCGAGAAGATCTCACCGAGGAGATCATCAAAGAAACACATCGAATCCTCACCAAGGGTATCCCAATCGTCGAAGAGGGCATGGATGACGTTGCACCTGAGAAATATGGTGGCATCTATCGGGATGTTGCAGTTGGAGCTGGCTCGACAATGTTCACAGTTCCTCAATTCGTGCCGCGCAAGATGAAAGAGTTCTGCGAGAAACTCAAGGAAGATATCTCACTCGCCGAAACACGAGGCTTCATCGACCCGTTCTCTATAGCTTCAAAGTACTCACTGGAATTTGTCCAAATTCACCCATTCCGAGATGGCAATGGCAGAACTTGCCGTATGATACTCAATGCAATTCTCTGCAGATATGCAGGTATCATTGTTCCCATCGGCGAGCAAGGAGAAGAGAGGAGCGAGTATATGGCGATAAAGCGAAATGCGAGCGAAAACATGGATGGACATGGCCCATACGCTCTTTTCGTGCTTACCAGAGCCGTTACACGCCTGCGAGAACTGAAGAAGAAGATGGCTGGTAAAGGAAGAAGAAAATGAGCTGTGTGTTCGGGGAGTCTGAAATCCATTTCATGGATTCAGTTAAGCTGGGGGAGCTGGAGTTCTAAGAAGTTATGAGACAGAAAGTTACTGCATCGTTTGAGATGCGCCGACGACTCGGCTTGGGAGGGAAACATTACTCTTAAACACATACCTAGCTGATAATCAGGCTGCCTGAATTCAAAGTTACCTAGTTTTTTCATGTCCTTGAGAAATTGTAAAATGTGAGGCGTGTTACTTTATTCAGGCTACTGACATCTTATTGGTTTATCCATGTATCCTAAGCAAAAGGAGAGAGACAGCCACGAAGATAGTTGTACCGGTCATGCAAGCAATGCATGATTTCTCACTTGTAACTCGGGATTTAACTAAGGTAGCTTGCCACTGGTACTTGCGATAATATTGGCGGGGGAACACAGCGCCGTATGTACGTAAGGGCAGGGGCTTCATTTCATTTGGCACGGAAGTCCTCCAGAATATGATTGGGATAAAAGTTCTAAATATTCCTGTTGAATAGGCTCGATCCATCAGACATAAGTGGTGGGATAAATGCACGGAGTAATTAACTCATGCTTCGCTGTGCAAAATACAGCAAGGCGTGTCGTCGGAGTTGGGCCGCTTTCCTCGGTGAAGGAGGTCCGGATGGTGGGGCCGGGGTATCAGGGGTTCAGCCCCCACCGCCTTCCCCATTAGCCAGCCCGTGCCTCCTAGTCGAATCGTGGAAGCTCCAACACCTACGTGCTTTAGCTCAGCTTTCCCAGTCCTGTCCAACGCGCCTTCCTTCCCAAGACCGAACCTGGTTATCAGCTACAAACCTTCCTACAAGCATTTCCCGCCCGCCGCGCGCATCCCACGATACTCACACAAGAACACACACATAGGGACGACAGCCATAATGTCGACAATTACAACCACGGCCCTGCAATCGGGCCACGCGCCCATCATCCCCCTCTCCTTCAACTCAAACCAACCAGACACGATCCGCCTCTACCCGCTCTCCAACTATACCTTCGGCGTCAAGGAGACCCAGCCCGAGGAGGACCCCTCCGTCATCGCCCGCCTCAAGCGCCTCGAGGAGCACTACACCCAGCACGGCATGCGCCGCACCTGCGAGGGCATCCTCGTCTGCCACGAGCACAACCACCCGCACATCCTCATGCTGCAAATCGCAAACGCCTTCTTCAAGCTCCCCGGAGACTACCTCCGCCCCGAGGACGACGAGGTTGAAGGGTTCAAGGCCCGCCTCGATGAGCGCCTCGCCCCCGTCGGCCGCATCGGCGAGGGCGAGGAGCCCGCTGACTGGCAGGTTGGCGACTGCCTGGCCCAGTGGTGGCGGCCCAACTTTGAGACCTTCATGTACCCCTTTGTTCCGGCGCATGTGACTCGGCCAAAGGAATGCAAGAAGCTTTACTTTATCCAGTTGCCCAAGAGCAGTATGTTAATGAAAACCCTTGACAGCAACAGCAGCAACACTTTTTGCTAACCCATGTCCCCCAACAGAGGTGCTTAGCGTCCCCAAGAACATGAAACTCCTCGCAGTCCCCCTCTTCGAGCTCTACGACAACACGGCGAGATACGGCCCCCAGCTCTCGGCGATCCCCCACCTCCTCAGCAGATACAACTTTGAGTTCGTCGATGAGAACGGCAACATCGTCGCTGCTACGCCCGGCGCGAGTGCACCGGAAGGATACGTTCCGAGAACAAAGGTGTTGGCGAGCGGCGACGACACGGACATGCAGGAGGCCAAGGGAGACGAAGAAGAGAACGGCGAGCAGCAGCAGCAGCAGCAGTAAGAGTTGCGGGTCGCGCGAAATGCGGACACAGAAAGGGAGGAAGGGCTTCTCACGAAAAGGGATCAGGGGCGAGGCGTTTTGGCGTAGGTCACAAAAGTGCCATAAGTAGACCGGTAGGACTGTACAACAGGTTTGACGCGATATTTGCGTCGATCGACACCACATAGAATGGTATTCATTGTTTGGAAGTGGGATTGGTGACGTTTTTTTTTCCATTCCATGTTCTCAGTCTATCTGCACAACACCTAAGAAACTCATGCCTTGGGCTCTCCCTGGATGGTGGCCACCAGGCGGCGCTGGTGCTTGCTGGCCCTGAACTCCAGGTACCAGATTCCTTGCCAGGTTCCGGTAGCCTAGACAATGTAAGTGAGCCGAAAATCCACCATTTCGACTTTTCCTGTGATCAGACTTACCAACTTGCCATCCTTGATCGGGATGGTAACACTCGCGCCAACGAGAGCGCTCTTGATGTGAGCCTGTGTGTGACACATGGTATCAGATCACCACACTGTAGCACCGAAAAATTAAAAAGAAACCAAACTCACCGGCATGTCATCGGGACCCTCGGCGCTGTGACGATACAGCTCCTGGCCCTTGGGCCCCGCCTCGGGCGCGATGCGGTCCAGCGCATCGCTCATGTCGGCGCGGACGTCGTCGTCCCAGTTCTCGTTGAGGCTGAGGGCGCAGCTCGTGTGCTGGACAAACAGGTGGAGGATGCCGACCTTGTAGTTCTTGAGCTCCGGGAGGGCGCCGACGATTTCGTCCGTGATGAGGTAGGAGCCGCGCGAGCGGGCGGGCAGGGAGAACTGCTTTTGGAACCAGGAGCCCGTCATGGTTGTTGTAGTTGGTGGGGTATGACGTGGGGGTTTTGAGCTGCTGCTGCTGCTGCTACTTGTTGAGAATGCGTAGCCTAGGGCTGTAAGAGGCAGGTTCCAGAGAAAGTGAAATAGGTTTGGAAAGAGGCAGATAATGATGAAGCAGAGGATGAGTAGGGTCGTCGTCTGTGAGGTTTGGTTACGGTTGGTTTGTGGTGTTGTCGGAGACATTGTGGTCGTGCTTGGAGTGTAGAAAATGATGCGGGCGCCGCGCTGGTCTCCAATCTGGTGGGGCAGGTTTGATGGATAAAGTGAGGTCAGATTACCTTGGGAAAGCAGCAGATTGGACGATTCTGGAGAGAGGTACGGTACTGCACGCAAAAGATGCAGGAAGTAATACTACCATGACCTCGGACCCTTTGGGTTGTTGAGTAAAGCAAATTGTTTGAAAATCATTGACAACGGTTTCTGATTTTCGTATTGGATTCTGTGTCCCGTCGCCTTATTGGAGTGAATCAATGCCCATAGAAGTTGATGGTGCAGCAAAACATGGTAAAATCCAAGGCACTTTCTGCAGTGCACCATGACGAATGTTAAACTGTGTCATGTCGCTGTCCAGCAACCTCTTCTAATGCATCTTTCAAAAACATACCTAACTCTTGGGACGGCCAAGAAAGCCATGAGTCTCCATGACAAACCGCATTTGTCATCTCATCAACGTCCTTCTCACGATGCCGGTAAATTAAACAGCGAGCGTCCACACCGTCAAGCCATTTGGACCCCCGATGCTTCAAGAGAGCGGTCATTCTGCACCACACCAACGCCTCAGAACCCGAAAACTCAACCATCTGCTCATCTTTGAATGACAATTGTGAAATTGGTTTAACCCGAAGCAACTCTGATCCTGCTATATCTACACAGCCCACGACTTCCAGCCCGTCGCACAGCACACGGTGTCTAAACGCTCTCTTTTCGTCCCAAAGCTGGCGACCCCTTGCCGCTATTGCTCATGCGGTTGCCGTAGCCAAACACTCCCGTTCCACCATCCACAGCTATTGCCGGCTCTATGCGAGGGGGTACGAGGTCTCGGGGAGGGATTCGAGGTGCTTGCGGTGGTGCTCGTTGGCCTAGTCATTGCATCAATTAGCTCCCCCATTGTTCGACTCGTTGCGGTGTACAGATAGCAGGATATGTCGGATCCAACTTACAAAAGGAAGACCGCAGTAGTTGCAGCTCGAAATCTCCGGCTTGTCAGTGTTGATAAAGATTCTAGGGTGACCAGACGGTCCGCCGCCGCCATCGCACGCCACGACGCGGGCGTGAGTCCACCGGACGGGCTCCTTGTGAACGAGTTCCATCGCGGAGTGAGGTTGTGGCTACAAATGTCGTCGAGACACACGTCAGTCATGATTCTCGATAGAATTCCCAGCCCTCTTCAGCAGCTGAAGCTCCAACAATTGACTCTTCAAGCCATTCGACTCCTCATCCTCCATCGTCCTCACATCTCTTCAACCCTCTCCACTCAATCCCAGGGGTCGCAGGCGTCGCTTAGCTCACCTGGAGAGCAAAATCAGTCTGCTCAAACCGCGGACCAGTCATGGCCTCGGCGCGGGGCTTTTGGCTGCGCGACCAGACAAGCGACCGGTTCGGCGCCTGTCCGACCGTCTCGGGGACGGTGTTGTCGGCGACCTGGGGCGTCGCGGCCTCGTTCTTCTCGACGACGGCGGGTCTCTCGGTCGTGCGGACCGTCGTCGACACACTAAACGGTCTCGAGGCGACGCGGAGCTGCCGCGACAGGGCGCTCGTCGCTGCTCGTCTGGATGCCGACAACATGGCTTCGGTGTGCTGTGCTCAATTGAGTGGTGGGGATTCGCTTCGGATTCGAGAGCGGCGGTCGTCAATTCAATTCCGGTCCTGGCTTTCAACCTACTCTCGGGTTTCTGGGGATAGCTTGGTGTTCGCGGAACCATTTGATTACACCTGCTGTCATTCGTCGGGAAGAACTGATGCCCCGTCGACCGAGTTGCAGACCCACCCATGGAGCACGGACCTGACGGTCAGTCTGGTAGGTAATACTGGGCAATCAAGCCAGTACTTTTGAATTTCACTCACACCTAAGTACCCTAGAATACGAATTTTGAGTCGGCTATGCCTGTCAGTGAACAGCTACTCCAAAGCAATATTCTCAAAAACACATGATTTACATGAAGGATACACAGCCAGTTTTGTTAAGGATTTGTCATATCCTCTTAAAGCATAACATGATAATCAAAAGTCATATACACGTGCCGTCATGCAACCGATACTCCAATAGAAACCAACGAGGCTATGGAAGACTAGCCTCGTATATGCCAGGGCATGAGGGGGACTCTATCTCTATTTACGCCTCATTGTATCCTTTCTGCTTTTGTTTTGTGTAATGCATCCCTCCTCCCATGAACCCCCCCCCCCCCGATACTTGTTCATAGCCACATGGACACATTTGCTGTGCTCGCGTCTTGGTATACGTCCAGGCGTCTCTTCATTTCTCCCTGCAAAGCCGAAGCGGGCAACAGGATTCTTCTCGAATTCACAATACGTCGCAATCATCTAGCGATCCATCGGCAAGAACTAGCGTGACCGAGTAGTCTGTCCATGCGCCTCCGCGTCGTCGTCAAGGTGGATCTCGGCTGCCTCTGTGGAAGCGGTATCGTTATCAGCAGCTGGCACAGAGATGACCTCTGCATTGTTCTGACGGGCCCATGCGGCGGTCTGGATCTCTGACAGACCAACCTGAGCGCCAAAGTCGGGCGGCGGAGGCGCCTCATCATGGGCGGTCTCGTAATCTCCCATGGTCTCATCGAACTGCATATCAGTGTCGTTGCCGACTTCGCGCTCGTCTGACGAGTCTGGTTGTGCGTCATCGCTACCGTAGCCGTCCAGACCAAGGGAGTTGTTGGTTCCATCAGCGGAATCCAAGGAATTCCAGTTCCAGCCCTGCGTAGCTGAGAACGCAGTCGAGTCTCCGTTGTAGTCCGTCATGCCGATGCCCTCATCCTCAATGCTGTTTTGAATGTTCTCGCTACCAACGTTGGTGCTGGAGCTACCCTCATAAGGTGGCAAATCATCCTCTGCACCCGGGTTGGCCGTGGACATTGTGTTACTAGCCAAACCACGATTTCCGCGCGGGTGAGTTGCTTCGGCTCCGATCCCAAGTCTCGACGATCCAGTTAGGGAGGAGCCCCCGACGAGACGTTGATCTTCCCCCGAATCGGTATCCTCTTCATCGTCGTCTTCTCCATCCTTGTCGAACTTGTCGAAGATCTCCTTGAAGCGAGGGCCGCCCAACGGGCCCTCGGACCGACGCCGGTAGAAGAGCAGGTAGGCCGCTCTAGTAACGACGCTCTCAGGCGAAGTCTTGCTGGCTGAGGTATCTGGAAAATGGTGAGTACGAGAAGTCATGTTTTGCAAAGGGTCATCCTACCATTGTAGTTGTACCACTGGCCGTCAACAAAGTTTCGCCCGTAAGCAGTGTAGTGGCCACCGCCGAGACCACCAAAGTGATCGTCGACCGCGATGAGGTCGTAGATCTCTTCCTTGCCCGTCTCCTGGCAGAGGACACGCTTGTGAAGATCGAGACCCTCGATGGGGAAGTCAACCAAAACGTCCAGCTTGTCGCGGCGCCAGCCAGCACTGCTAAACCGCTTCAGGTGGACAACGAGGATGTCTGGCGTCTTCCAGAGATCGAACTTCTTGCTAGCACGTCGATGCTCCTTGCAGCGTGGACAATACCACATGTCCTGCTCAGACAAGACTTCGGCCTTCTCGAACTCATCCAAGCACTCCTCAAGGGTGATGCCCTGCTTCTTGCGAGCCATCCGCGACTTACGCTTCTGTTCCAAGATGGGGTCCTTGAGCTCCTCTGGCTCGGTAAAGGTCTTTGAGCCGCGGTTGTCGTCAGTGTCGCGCAGTGACTCCTTGCCAAAGACCAAGTCCCAAGTTTCCTCGGACCAATCGACGACAATGCCCTCATCCAGACGGACGAGCGGGCCACCGCGAATATCGTCCTCAGGCGATGGTTGAGGCTCAACGTCGACCACGTGGAAAGATTGCTCTTTGCTGTTCCGCGAGTCTCTGTTGCGGCGTTTGCCGCCCCTCTTTCCGTAGGTCTTGTTGCCCTTGTTATTCTTTCGGCGAGCTCCACCGACCTTGTGGTTGCCCCTTCCTCGGTTCATCGGCTGGGTAACGTTAGCTTTTGCCGCTTCCTCTGCTGTCGCTCGCCCGGTGATTACATACCTTGATAACGCGAACTGGCTCGTCCTCTTCCGACTCATCCGCCATGCGGGTCTGCTCCTCGACCGACTGCGGTGTGGTCTCTTCGCTGACACTCTCGTGCTCACTATCTGCACCGTTGGTGGAGCCAGGGCTGTTCGAGTCTTCGTTGGGGAGTTCCGGGGCGCGAGAAGACAGGAGACGAAAGTTCTTATTGTCGTCCACCGTATTCCAGCCCACAGGCAACCCATAGTCGTTACTCTCGCCAAAGAAGCTGAGCTCAAACAGGTTCTGGAGGTGAGGCGGAAGGTACTCCTTGGGACTCGCCCACTTCGGGCGGCGAACGTTGAACTGCTTCAGGGTAGGTCGCCGGGTCTGCTGTTGCTCGCCTGCGCCGACAGAAACGTTCACCAAGTCATCCTCGCCTTCTACCGAGTTAGAGATAACCTTACTGTCTCCTGAGGAATCGGCATCTGATTGGGATGTGATGACCATGTCCGCTTCGGTGCTTTCGTCGGTTTCTTCAAACTCGGACCAGGTAGAGAACGTTGCCACCTTTTCCAAAACCTTGCGACGAATGGCATCCTCATTCCGGGACTAGAATGCTGTCAGTTTCACACAAGCGTCGCAAGAATCAGTGTTCAGCTTACCTCCTCAGGCGTAACAACGATGAAGTGAGGGGGTGCTGCAATATCGTCTCCCCTCAATCTGTAAGTGTTGCCCGTCTTCTTGCGGTGAAGAACAGGGACCAGCAAACGCTCAGTGCGTGGGTCAACCCAAGGCTCATCGCTGATCTCTAGCATCGACCTGGGCGTACCCATCTTCTTCTGCTTAGGGGGGTAGTTGGTTGGCGACGATTCCAGCTCATGGAAGGCAGGTATATCGTTGGACTGGATCTCTTCTGAAACCGAGGTGGCATCGGAGTAGACCTTGAAGAACTTGCCCTTGAACTCTTCTGCTCCCATCAACAACTCCACAGGCACACCCGTCTTATCTGAGAGCGCTTTCTTCAACAACTCGATGGCACTGTGCTTCGGGAGCTCAACCTCAAACTTTACAGGCACGTCGTTGAGCGGGTAGAACTTGACAGGCCGGCTCCACATGTCCTCCATGGGCAGCGGCAAAGTCAGGTTGTTGAAGGGGTCGAAAGTGATGCTAATCTTGTCGCACGTCGGGCACTTGAGAGTGGACTTGTACAAGCCAGTGAAGAGGTCTGCGATGACGGAGTCGTCGCGCTTCCGAGTGATATCCCATACCTCCTCAGCCATCTTACGAATGGCCTCCTCGTCACCAATCATGTCGTCTGTCGAGTCCGGCTTCTCAATGTAAGGTTTCTTATGAATACGACTGAGGTCCTCTTGCAGCGCGTCGAGGAGGAAACCGAGGAACTCTTGGGTATCTTGTTGACCCCAGCCTTGGAAGGTGGCGCGAGCACGACCTACTGTGTTCTTGAAGTCGCGGGGACTGACTGCACCTCTCGACTCATTGTAAATCTCCTTGAGAAGTCCACCGTAAGCCATGGCCACCTGTCCTTTGTATCCAAGAGGGTTTCCCTTGTTGAGCTCCTCTTTGTACTTGTCCGTCAAGAAGTATTTTGTCAATTCCTCTACGCTGCGGACGCACTGCAGGGCCGAGTTCATATAGCATGTGTTTCCAAGATTCTGAAGACCTACGGCGCCTAAGCCCCGGCCAGGTTTCTTCTTCTGCTGGGTACGGCCTCTGGTAACGGGTCCTTGAGGAGCAGGGCTGCTTCTTCCACTGCTGGTGGCCTTCAGGCTCGTGGCAGAGCCTCTAGATGCCAGAACCTTGTCATTCTTGCCATTCTTGAAGTAGGTTGAGACCCATGCGTTCTTCGCAATTTCTTCATCAATCACAAGGGTCATGTCTTGCATCAGTCCGTGGACCGAGAGGGGAGAGTTGCCGTTGTAGTTGGGGTTGGTAGTGTGGTCCACCGCAGAGACTACCTGTCGGTCTCCGCCGTTGACCTTTGTGAAGCTAGGCACCTCCACGAGCATACGTTGCCAGGGGCCCGACGAGCTCTCGCTGTCCTTGTCCGGGTTTGGAGAATCGGGCGGTGTGAGGGCAGACCGGGGTGACGACTCTTGCGCCTCGGGCTGTTGAGTAAGCTGCCATACCCGCATCTTACGATCCAGAGGGACACCGGTGAGCTCCTTCAGCTCCTTGTAGAATGGGTGGTAGGGTGTGGTGGCACTCCGGGCCAGGACGAGGGGCTCCTTGCTCTTCAGCTCGTCCTTAATTTTGAAAGGGCTTGCCATGGACCAGAGTCTGTGGATTGTGAAGACGGGCGGGTTCAGCTCAAACATGACGTTCTTTTCGCTGGTCGAGTCGGGCGCCGCGTTGATAGCGCTGCGCACAATGGGCTTCTGTCCCTCGCCGACGCCATACCACTCCGAGACGAGCGTCCAGGCGTCTTCCGGGAAGAGCTCGCACTCCTCCATGCCAGTACCAGGCTTCATCCGGACAAAGTCGTCACCGCTGGGCTGGGACAGGACCTCGAGAATGAGATCGGAGTTATCCACAGGGCCTAGCGGCTCGTCTGTCGTCTCTTTCTTGGCAAACTT